AAATAAATCACATGATGGGAAAATTCTTAATTTCCAGTCTAACCATGATTATGGAATGAATATTGGAATAATAACGAGCGTGGTCATAAGAAGCCTACGACTTACTGAACTAAAGAACTAACTGTGTCTTGGTAATGGATGTCCAGAAGAGGCAATATAACAAAATATACGGATAGTGCTGATAAGATGAAAGAACGGAGATTATGAAGAGAAAGCAAGAGGAACAGAGGAAAAATGTTGGATATATCTACCATCCTGCGAATTGGTTCGAAAGCTGCAGCGGATACTATGGAAATGGAATATTAATACAATCTTGAAGGAAATGACAACTCTTCACCAGCCTGTCCACTCAACATGAAGAAGTCGACAAAATAGATTGCTAAGGAGTTTATAGCATAAATTGCAAGGACTATAAACAAAAATGGATCGGAGTGGCTCATAAGGGATAAAGGGAAGTCAAGAAAAGGCGATTGAATTGGGAAGTCAAACCTTGAATCGGCCGAAAATGTACCAGGGATTCACCTGTGGGATTTAGGATAGGAATATAAAAGGCTAAATGTATAGGTGGGCCAGATAGAGGTTACAAGTGCGTGTGCGTGTGTGCATTTTTCGTGTCTGTGCCTAGAAGGAAGTGACCGGTGACAGGCTTGACCACGATGAATACCAGCTAACACATACATGAACATCGTAGTACCCTAGGATGAGATGGGAGCGTAAACTTGATTCAGGAAGCGGGGCATTTTCACACCAGCGGTTATTACTTAAGCCGAAATAGTATCCCAAAGAATGAAACACAACGTGGGTAGGATGAGAAATAGGATAACCGAGTCATGGGTTTGAAGCATAGGGAGAAGAAGATTTCCAGGCCTTGGCATGGACATCTTCTGCTCTAAATCCTCGAATATAGCATACTCGGGGATGAGAATTGAAGGCTCTTAGGCAGCTAGATTTCAGACAGTCAAACAGTGATTGTGATTTGTGGTAGCGACCAATTGACAAGCGGGGTGGGAGAAAAGAGGCTAAATGAAGCTCAGGAGCCCTGCAAACAGAACCTGGTACCGATGGTGGAGAGTATTACGCTTCACTAAATCCACTTGTAGCGACACACTCTCAGGTGACGTTGAAGGAAAGTAGTAAGTATGGATAATATCCTAAAAATAGTTATAGTATGAAGAAAGTAACATAGATAAAAATCGATTTTACTCTTTTAAATGTAGGAAACGAAAATGGTGGAGTGAATGTAGTAGAGCTATATAGCTCACTTTTACTATTGCCTTGGAAGTCCCCCAACAAAGGATGCTGCTTGTTTTCGTCTTCATCCTCTTCAATGCAATCCGTCTCATTATCATCTGCGTTTACGGTCTTGGATGAAAAAATCCGCCTTTCACAAAGAAACTGATCCGACCAAGCAGCTGTACCGTTGGTTATAATAGGGCAGTCTGAAGGCGTGGTATGAGCACTTGAAGAAGCCAGTATAGCAGGTATTATTGCCAAAGGTTTAGTAGTAGATATATCACGAGAGATCGACTCAATCGGCGTGGAAAGTAAACCTGTTGTTAACCCAGATACAGATAATGGCGATGTAACAGATGCCGAAGGAAGTAGGGCCGAAGACAGATTTGATGAGGAACTATCAGAGGACGAAGGTGAGGAGGCAGATAAAGCAAGTGTAGATGAGGAGCAGTTTTGGCGAACAGCTGCTGGTGAAAGCTCAATCTCGATTGCCTGGCCTAAGCCTGAGCTAGCAGTGGCAGCTACATTTGCCGATTTAGCGGCTCGTCGCAGAGCTGAAGGTGGGGGTAGCGATGGTGGCGGCATCTGGAGTCGATCCGTAATCTCTGCTAGGCTAGGTGGCGCACCAATAGGCGGTCGCGGAGGTACTAGGATTGTAGTGCTGGGGGTCGATAAGATGATCGCTCCTCCGAGTCCTAATGATGGCATAAAAACACTACCATTGGGAGCATTTCCAGAGTTAGGTGACGCAGAGCTGATAGGATTAGAGACTATACCGCAATTGGAATTGGTAGACGTGACGATACTTGCTATTTTGTTGCTCCCAATGTTGTGTATCGACTTATTCTGCTGATCAGTACTTAAGACAGATACATTAGCTGATACTTTGGTCACCGTAGTAGTGCTCGGCAGTTGACCAACTGAGCCAAGCTGTGGGAGAGTAACGCTGATCTGTTGGACTAGTGAAGGTGAGGACAAGAGGCTTACGAGGTTTGGGTTAGCATATTGACTGACACTACTACTGTTATTAATACTAGCAGTATTATGCCCAGCAATACTGTTGTTTCCGCTAGCTCCAGCCACCAGAGAAGAGTTTAACGATTGATTATTTGTATTAGTTGAACCCGGTGGTCCAACAGAGTAGGGGGCTTGAGAATAGAGGTATTGTTGTGTGGACTTTAAATGCGAATCAAGTAGATCAGACCTCAGTGGAGATACAGAGCTATGCCCAGCAGGGTTCGACCCGACAAACGAGACAGTTGGAGATTTAGAGGTAACTGACAGGATGGCAGTAGAGACTGGAAGCACGACGGCATGACTCGCAGACGTAGTAGGTGGCAAAACGGTGCGATGCCCAATATGGAGAGGTACGTGAGGTAGTGAAGGCATCAAAGAGGTCGATGCTGAACATATTGGTAGTGATGATGATAGCGACTGTGACACAGATTGACTGATCGAGATGACGGATACAGGATGATGTGACGTTCCGGTCAGGTGATGGGCCTGCATGAGCGGTAGATGAGCCAGTGTAAGAGTTGTTGGTAGAAATGGAAGCTGCTGTGAGGCTGCTGGTGGGGGGAGGCGTTGCATCAACTGAGTATATTCAAGGAAAAAGACGTGCAGAAGCAAAACGCGAAAAAAATAATCAAGTATGTATAAGTGTAACTTTGCATTCATTTTCATACATGAGCTCTCATAATCCAAGAGGCTATGCAGAATCTAAAGGAAATGAGGCGTATTCTACGCTACAAGCTGTCGTAAGAAAAGAATAATGAGGGGATTTCATGTTTAAATACTAGGTTCAAAATGGGATAATTGGGCTGTAATAAAAACCTGCTAGAGAAAAA